TAATGTTGATATTTGTGTTAGTATTTTGAATTATTCACATTATCTATGTTGAATATAGATAGATTTGGAGAGTAGAAAGGGGTCTTAGAGATTTTTAGTGTGTCCGCTCACCACTATAGCAACACCTGTAATAGTCAACCTTTACCTCTGCTTGGCTACTTGTGATGAGAATCTCACTACTTTATGATGCAATCCATTTTACGTGTGAAAAATATCTGATTTTTGAGGTAAACGCACCCATCCCAATCTAGAAAAAGTGGTTGTGTTTAAAAAAAAAAAAAAAAGTGGCGGGGCGCCTGGGTGGATTAGTCGGTTAAGCGTCCGACTTTCGCTTAGGTCATGATCTCGCGGTTCGTGGGTTCGAGCCCCGAGTCGGGCTCTGTGCTGACAGCCAGTTCAGAGCCTGGAGCCTGTTTCAGAGTCTGTGTCTCCCTCGCTCTCTGACCCTCCCCTGCTCACGCTGTCTCTCTCTCTCTCTCTCCTAGAAATAAATAAAACTATTTAAAAATTTAAAAAAAAAAGTGGCTGGGGGAGTAGTAAAAGACAGGGAAGATCCTCAGGAAGTTCACAACTTGGCAGAGGGCCTAGCCAAGGGCATTAAATACTGACCAGAGAGGCAAATTTTATTTTATTATTTAAAAAAATTTTTTTAAAATGTTTCTTTATTCCTGAAAGACAGAGAGAGAGAGAGAGAGAGAGACAATGTGAGCAGGGGAGGGTCAGAGAGAGAGGGAGACACAGAATCTGAAACAGGCTCCAGGCTCTGAGCTGTCAGCAGAGATCCCCACGCGGGGCTCAAACCCACAAACCGTGAGATCATGACCTGAGCTGAAGTCAGACACTTAACCAACTGAGCCACCCAGGTGCCCCAGAGAGGGAAATTTTAAAAGCCACAAACCCTATTGCTTCCCATGTTCCTGACATAGCCAGATCATCCCCCAGTGGCTACCTTTCCAAGGAGCTCAGGAAACCATGTAAAATAATAGAAAGGACTCAAGTATTTTGTCTTTTCACACTTTCTAGGATTAGGCTCATATATTATCTTAGATTAAAAATCTTTAGGTATTTTTGTCTAGTGTCTGTTCATAGGGCACTTAAAAATGTTCTCACTGGTATAGAGTAGTTAAGTACACTGAGCAAAACACACGCACACGTATATATGTCTCTTCTATGAGTTTCAAGTTCATATTCTGCCTCTTTTACTTCATAGTATGGCTTTGAACATGTTATCTAACTTCTCTGTTCTTTGGTTTCCTCATCTGCAGAGTGGGAATGAAATAGTACCTTCTTTATTATGACACCTCAGTACTTTAATATGTGTGAAGTGCTTAGTAGTGTGCCTAGCACATGGTGCTCACTCAATATGGCTTTTATTATAGAAGCTACATATTTCACCAATACTTACATACTCTTATATGAACAAGTAAGGATTTAAATATTCCACTTGTTGAGAGATTTAATCTCTTATTTTGTGTATGCAGAGTCAACGCATTAGCAATGGGTTAAAAGACAGCCACAGCTGTGTGAATTGTTGGGAAAGAAAGATTTCTTGCTTCTGCTGAAATATTTCTTTAATCTGGTTCCCAAAATACCTCTAAAAAAGAGACAGTATTTTACTCCACATTTAGAGAGAAGCAATTTAAAATCACATGCTCTAGAATGTTACTTAAACATAGTATGCATTAATTTACGATAATATATTAATGGTTGTCAGTCCTTTATGTTTTTGAGAGAGGGGCGGTGGAAAAGGGAGAGACGTGGGAGTAAGGATACATATGAAGAGGAAACAGTTGAACAAGGGGAGTAGAAAGCCCAGAAGTACGCTCACTGCATTATTTTGTTTCTCAGGACTGTCCTATTTAGCAGCATGTAAATTCCCCAAGTAGTTTGAGTCTAGCAGAGCCGGGCAAATGTCTCCCTTAATAGGAAATAAGCCTGTGAATTCTTTGAGAGTCCTCACCTTTGCTGCCCTGGTATTCTCTCCTGAGATATCTGGAGCTTTTATAGGATTTATTTTTACAATTAGATGAAAAAAGACATTGTGTTTTTGTTCAAATTTTGTCATTCCACCAAACTGAAACCCTCTCTCCTCTTCAACAGCTTCCCCTACCCCATGGTCCCTCCTGCCTTTAAAACCACCACCATCCCAGGCTGCAAAGCAGGGAAGCAGCATCTACAACGCTAACTGCAGTGTCTTTCAAGTCGGCTGTTGACCTTGGTAGCCATGTCACTATCTTGGTTCAGATCTTCACTCTTTACATGATAGACTCCTAACTGGTTCTGTGCTTCCATTTCTCCCTCTCTAGGTGCCTCTGAATGATCTTCTGAAAGCTCCATTCCAGCACTTAACTTTCTGGTTTAAAAATCTCTACTGCTTCCCTGCCACCTAACAAGCAAGTATCCATTTCATTACTGCATCTGACAAGGTCATTCCTGAACCCTGCTTAGCCTGAGATTCAATCTGCTGCGCCTTCTCATAATTTGGGCAGCAGCACTGAGCTACCAGCTGTTTCCAAGATACACTATGCTGTTTTCCATACTGTTCCCCTCTGTTTAAAATGCTTATTCTGTTTCCAACTGCCCTTTCATCTCTAAAGACCATTCATGCCCCTGACATGACCACTCTGGGCAGTTTTTCCTGACATTGCAGAACAGCTGCTTTTTCTGTGCTCTAGTAGCTGTGAGTGCATGTATTGATCACTGTGCTTGTCACAGAATGTTCTAATATAAATATATAAATAAATACACACGCATCTATCATCTATCTATCTATCTATCTATCTATCTATGTCTTCTATGAGTTTCAAGAAGGAATGGATAGGGTTTGAATCTCAAACACCAGTGTGTGGCATGCCATAGGTACTCAATAAATGTTGATTGTTGAATGGCTTATACCACAGATTGCCCATCCCTGCTAATTTAAATGCTACCTTCGAAGGCCCACTTCAAGCACAGTTTCCTTGATGGTGCTCTGATTCTCTCCCACGAAGAGTGCTTTTTTTCTTCTTTTATGGAAAACTATAGAAATTTCTTTATTCCTGTTGGAGTTTTATTTCATAATTAAAAATATCTACTTGTTTATAAGTTAGCTGAAATAGAATTGTGTCCAGAGATGCCTGTATTCCCTGGATCAGTGTCTTATGTCCAGTAGGTGCTTAGCATATTTGCTGAATAGAGTTAACCCAAGAAAAGCCAATCCTTAGCACAGCTTCTGCAAAGACATGCATGACCCGAACACTGTTTGCTCCCATAAGGTCTGATTTACTTCATTGCCATTTGTGAGGACAGAAATTCTAAGAGAAAAAAATACGTTTGCCAAATCAAAGTTATCAGTTAATTCACACAGTACAGGTGAGAGATTCATTCAGATTTCTTTTCTCTTTAAACCTTGTTAATATCAGGATGGAAATGATGGGAAATTCGACTGAGGACCAGGCCTAAAGTAATTTAGGAGCAGAGAGGACTCAAGGTGAGGGCGACTTGAATGGTTTCTATCTTGGGATTCTTGGGTACCAAAGACTAGATTATGAAGGTTCAGTAAGGAATGCAAGATGATATTAATGGCAAATGCTACCTGCTCTGAAAAGTTTCTAGTGTTATGCTAAACAGAACTTTCTTCTTCCAGTCTGGCACCAGGCACCAGAATTCAGTTTAGTCCTGACAACATTATGTTTGGTTCAGGTATGTTATGGGGCAAATATACTCCCGTGGGGATCCTAAAATTTCTTTGGGGGAAATGTGTGCACATTTCACACTCATCAAGAAATGCCTGGAATACCACCTGTTCCTAAGTAGGGAGCTGTATGAAATAAATTCACACAAATGAATTCTTGATGAGTTCAAATGATTATATTTAATATCTAACATAAAAAAAGCTAAAGTGAATAATTTTAGAAAAGGGAGGACTTGAAAGAAAAAGTTTGCCAAGACATGGCAATAAATAGGCAATAGAGACAGGTGAAAAAAAATTGGAAAAAAGGTAGGTCATAGTGAAATTGCATCAACTCATTTATATCACACATTTGGTGATGAGGGAGGAGTTATCAGTGTATTTACAAGGTGGGAAAGTTTTTCAAAAAAGGTAATTAATTCTGAGGACAGGCAGCTAGAGTTAAAAAAAAAAATCAGAAGTCACAAGATATCTCCCTGGGAGACAGAACTGGCAAAACCGCTGATTTAAGAAAGTTAACTCTTCTCCCCAAGTCTCCTGAAAGACTGTGGACTATCTTAATTTATATTTACTTCCGTAGAAATGTTTCAACACTGAAAGTTTTCGCAAGGAGACCACAAAGTAAACCAAAATAAACACTACTAATTATAAAATTTCATCAAATGTAAAAAGAGGGCGTTTTCTTTTCTTTTTTCTTTCTTTTCTTTCCTTTTTTTTTTTTTTAAGAAAAAAAAACAGTTTCAAAATATTTGAGGAAAGGAAATCTTTCATTTCCCTAGGAGGTCCAACTGTATGTTTCAGAGTTCTTACACCCCGGCCCAGAAGAGCAGACATAACTTGATGTGTATGCGTATTTTTTACGAGGTGCGTCAGCACTTTATCAACTTCTCAAAAGTGTCAATGGCCCTGAGAAGTTCAAATTCATGCACTAGATTCTCTTGGGGAGTCCCTTTCAGCTCTCAATGTACCGCAATCCCACGAACCTTTGTTCTTTACACCTAGCCCGTTTTGAAACTGCTTGCACACGCCTCGGACGGCCACCGAAGCGATGCTCTGCGAAGCGGGCTGAGCTTCGGACGCTCCCCCTGGACCCAGGGCTGGGGAAGGGCGTGAGCCGCGCGGCCCCGAGTCCGCTCACCACTCCTCACACGGGCGGCGGAGCTGGGGCAGCTCCAAGCGCGTCGGGAAGTGTAATCCCTCCGCTAAGTACTTGGCTCTCAGTCTCCAATCACTAGTGGGAGCTGGAGAGGGCAAGTGAAAAAAAAAAAAAAAAAAAATCCAGAGGCGGCCGAGGAGCGAGAGGAAAAAAAAAAGTCCCGCGGCGGCGGCGGCAGAGCGGCCGCGGCGGCCAGAAGTTGCCGGTGCGGCGGGACGCGGGGCGCGGAGTTGGCGTGGGGCCTGCGCGCGGCGCCGGGACGATTTGGGGGCCGCGGGGACAGCGGCGCTCAGGACGCCGGCGCCGGGAGCTCCGCGGCGGGTAAGGCGCGGGGAGGGGGGGGTGGCTTGCGTGCGGGGCTCCGTCCCTGCAAACGAGCGGGAGGCGGCGGAGCCGGCGTGGGCAGGGGGGCGGCGCGAAGCGGGTGGCGGCGCTCCGGTAAGCACGCAGCGCGCGGGGAGAGGAGGAGAACGTGCAGCTCGGCCGTGGGGCGGCGGCGGCGGCGGCGGGGAGCGGGGGCAGGAGGCGGCCGCCTGGGCTTTGTGCGCGCGCGGCGCTGCCGGGACCCCGAAACCTCGTGCGGGCGCAGGCGGGGAGCTGGGGGCAGAGGCGGCTGCGGGCGGGACACGTGCTCCGGAGTTGGGGAAGGAGGGACGCGCCGCGGCGGGGAGTCGGGACCTGCGCACCTAGGGATGGGGCGGGAGGGCGAGCGGAGGGCAGCCCGGCAATGGGGGAAATGGGAGCGAGCCCGGCAGCCTGGGAGGCAGGACCCGCAGGCACCCGGCTCGGCCGAGCCACCTGCCTCGGAAGCCTGCAGGGACTAAGCTTTGCAGCGGGACTGAGTGCGCAGCGGGCTGGTCCCGTGTCTCGGACTCGGCTCTCGGTTGCTGCCGCTGTTGCCTGTTCCTTTCCCTCTGTCTCACTGTCTCGTTTGCGTTCTCAGATGTTTCTCTCTCTCCCTCGTTTTCCTCCCATTCTCTCTTTCTCTCGCCTTCTCCCCACCTTCTCTCTCTGTCTCTCCCTTGGCGTGCGTGCGTGTGTGTGCACCTCCCTCCCTCTCCCCCCCCCCCTTCAGTCTCTATGTCCCTCCCTCTCTGTCTCCTTATCTTCTTCCCTCTCGGTCTCCTACAGTCTTTTCAGTTTCTCTCATTTGCAGGCCGACCTTCTGCTGTTGTCTCACTGTCTCTACTGCTGTCTCTCGCTCGCAGCGCCCATCGATCCACTCGCGACTGTGTCTGTCAGGGCTCCATGTGTCTGTCTGTCCCTTGCGGTGTTAGGATTTCAGACATGAGAGAGGATCCTCCGGAAGTTGTCCAGTGCCTTATTTCTTTTTTTGAGCGGCACCACTTCAGCTGGATCCTGGGTCCTTCCTATTTGTTCTGCACAGGATGGGAATTCTGTGGCTTCCATGAGTTATTAGGAATTGCTCTTTTCTTAGCCACCTTTCCACCAAGGTGAGGTCAGTGAGTGAGCAGCCACAGAGGTGCCAGTGAAAGAAAACAGAAGAAGAGAGTTGCTTAATTGCCTCCAACATATAAAGAGAATGTACCAAACGTAATCTGCAGTGAAGCAGAACCACCTGAGAAACCTTTCTGAATTGTGGAAAGAAACACAAAGCCTCCAATAATGAGAGGAGTCAGCTAAAAAGTCTTTGAAAATTATTTATGGAAATGCTTGCTATCCTAAACTAATGCCAACGAATTATCTGTGTTTCTTGCATCTGTTTTTAGGATCCTAGTGACAACTCTCCTAATTATTGTTTTGGGAAAATTATGAGAAGTGCCCTGTGTCAACTGGGACATTTGTTTTTAAGAAAATATTCCGTCTTTGTACTCTTACACCTCTTTACACTCCGGCGATCAAGAAGAATTATTTTTGACTGCAAAGAAAATAGGAAAGGATTTGTCAGTAATTTTAAAACATGAGACCTTCCAGAGATCAATAGTTTCTTTGGAAAAGTCTCACTCTAAGGACGTTTTGAAGGATGTTACATCTTAGTGAAATATGCAGGTTATTACACACTTAGATCATTGTGTGATGCAAAGAAATGTGTGCTGTAAGCAAATCATAGTAGTGATTTTTTTTTTTTATGGGAAACATAGCTGGGAAATTAATTGCTCTGATTTCCACTGTTTTCTTTAGTCATGCATAATGTACCTTTGTTTTTTGCCAAATATGGCCGAGGGCTACAAAACGTGATACAGTGTAGTATTTGTCCAATCTGAGTTACCATTTAGAAAACCACCTTTTCCTTTTGCTCACAAGATAGACGTTGACATGATCTCATTACTCATGTGCCAGGGCCTCCTGATAAATTTTCTTGGCACCGACTTGGGATTTTAAATCAAAATGTTAGCTTTTGGTGAGTTCAGATGCTGATTCGTGTCACGTTAGTGAATCAGTGCTGTTTATAGGGGCTTTGCCACCTTGTCTACCAGGTGCTGTGTGGGGTTCAGCCCAGGCAGGGTTGTCCGGATTCCCCATTAGATTCTTGTCCCTCAGTGATGTGTTGCTTCTACTTGTGGTGTGCTCACATACGTCCCTCAGGATGTTTCAGTCGTTAAGAGGAAATTGACTTAATTTTTTCCTCATAAACTTCGAAAACGGTATGAGATGGCCTGATAAAATATTTTCCTTAGAGTAAATGCTGATTTTATTATTTAACAGTGTAAGGTAATTTAAAATGTGATATCTTTCAGGATATATAGTGCCCTCCAGCAGTCAACTGCTGTTTATCATCCCGATCTAAAGTCAGTCCTCACCCGCTCCTGGCAAAGCCTTTCCTGATTTTCCTAAGCCTCCTCATCTCTGCTGCTCCGTTTCTGGGCACACCTCTCATTGTGTCCCTCTCCGCTGTCTGGTTCCTTGCTGGGTTTTTCCTCGCTGGACTGTCTTTTCGTTGAAATAAAACAGTGCCCCCTTTTCTTTCCTTTTCTGAATTTCAGATGCCCAGTCTGTCATATGATAGTCAGAAAATCCTTGAAGGGTGATTTGTCTTCAACTTGTGATGCTAATTCTCTGTAGACGCAGTAGCTCAAAGGAAATGCTGTCCTGTGGTATGATAGATCACAGAGCAGAGGGACGAGAGAGTCTTAGGAAGCATCTCCTCCCACACATCAGTATTAAAGATGGAGAGGACGAGGCCTCAACAATCTGAAAACCTTGTTCAACAATACACAATGAAGCCACAGTCCTTTCCCCTGGACTCCGCTTGCCTTCTTTCACTACAAGTAAATCCATTACCAGGAGCTAACGTTTACTATCTCAACTCTGAAGATTTCTCCTCATGCTGACCTATGGAAGTCGTGCATGAAACTTACCATTTTGCAGTAACTGATAAATCATTGGTTCTACATAATCATGGAGGTAATACTTGTCTTTCGGAACACTGACTTCTATGTGCGTTTCTGTCTGAGCGTTGTGCTGTGTCATCTTGGGCAGACTACTTATTTCTACCTGAAAGGAAGATTCAGATTCTCTGGATGAAATTTTCTCCTCTGTAAATTTCTGTGCATGTGTTGAATGGAGGTAGGGAAAAAAGAAAGGAAGTTTGGACCAGATTAGGAGCACTTTTTGAAGTTTTTCTTCAGAGACCACCAGTTTAACTCCCAGAACAACTGCATGTTCATCTGTTTTACATATCAGTCTTCCTTGTGAGCTTTTGTTTGAAAAAAGGCTAACACAGTTTAAGCTTCAAGACCACTTACTTCACCAGTCTCCGTTGTAGTTCTAGAATTTCATAATCACCATAATTCCTAGCTCTTAAATCTGGATATTTGGAGGGTGGTTGATAAAGTTATTGGGATAGAAGGAGAAACTGATTTTTAAAAAAAATGTTTACTTTTGAGAAAGAGAGAGAGAGGGAGCATGAATGGGGATGGGGCAGAGAGAGAGGGGACAGAGGATCCAAAGCAGGCTCTATGCAGGCAGCAGAGAGACTGACACAGGGCTTGAACTCCATGAACCGTGACATAATGACCTGAGCCAAAGTCAGATGCTCAACTGACTGAGTCACCCAGGTGCCTCAGGACATGCTGATTTTGCCTGAGAGTTAGTAATTTTAACTTCTCATATGCTGAATTTGTGATGTGACGGCAGAAGTTGAAGTAGAAGTGTTGGAATACGTAGAGGCACCCAGAATTTGGAGGAAGGAGGGATAGGACTAGAAATATGCATTTATGCTGAACTAATCATTAAAGTTGAAGAAAACTAAAACTTATTTGAGTCTGGAAAGATAAATGAAGATTTGGGAGTGGACAGGGGGGCATTTTGTTACTTCTGAGTATTTATTAAGGTCTTCTATAGTATTAAGACAAAAGTAGGGTAATATATATGTACATCAGGCAATAATCTGTTTTCATGATTTTTAGAGCATCTAGTTTACATCCTAGTGATCTTAATTATATTCATTTTACTTAAATGTTTGATTGCCTCCTCTCTGCCTGGTGGTGTTATACACCTCAGGGATACTGTAGCCATAGGAGACACTGGGATTCTGCTGTCATTGAACTTGCTTTCTAGAAAGTGAAAACAACCAGGAGCAAGCACATGAGTAAGATCATTTCCAGTAGTAAAGATTGACATTCAGAAAGTAAGACATGGTGGTATGACAGTAAGTGACTGGGGCTATTCCTTATTTGGGGTAGCCAAGGATGTCCTGTCTGCGGGTGTCCCTGAATACCAAGAAAGCCAGCCCAGTGAAAATCCAGGAGAACTTCGTGGAAGAGAGAACATCAAAGCTGTCTCTAAAGCAGCAGCAAGTTGGGCACACGCCTGTCAATGTGGTTGGACTCAGGCAGTTAAAGGAAATGGTAAGAATGAGGTCAGAGAGATAGGCCCATGTTATAGAGTATGCATTTTATTCCGAGTATTTTATTGAATCACCCTGGAAAGATTTTATACAGAGAAGTCAAGAAGTGTGACTTAGCATGTCTGTAGTCTGAGCAAGAGTGTCTGAATCTGAAGTAAGATGATGAGGGAGACCATGAGAAGGATTTAGCTGATAGTTCCGTGGTTTGGCCAAGGGTGGAACCTGGAGAAGCTGATTAGATGTTGTTCTTATTACTGAATAAGAGTCACCGAGTTGAATCATTTACCCATATTGATCAACATTGCAACAGTCCCCTGGCTCAATCGTTGCTTTTACTTTTACATCCATGCTTCATTTCCCAGATGTCACCTCCTTACCTCCCTTCAAATATCTCCTGGGCTATGAGCATCTTGACTCAGAGGGTGCAGTTTATCCTGGCAGGGTTCTTCAGGGCTCAGGGTGGACTCTGGACTATGCAGGGATGCTAGACTGAGCGAACATCCCTTCATTT